CAACAAATTGCAATAGTTTCGCGGCTTCCCAAGATCAGCGTACCAAGAGTGGTGTTTTGGAAGGATTCAGGACTGCGGGGGCGCAACAGTTGAGTTGATTCGCGGTGTTGAAGTCCCAGGAAAGGCGTTCTGGCACCATTCAGGATCGTCAAGACGGAACAGTCTGGTTGATCCGCGGCGTTGGAATCCCGACAACAATGTTGTGGCATGCTTCCGGATCTCCAAACGGTTTTTTTCCAACGAGGCAGTTCCCTCAGTGGAAATGAACCGTTGTAGGGGTCCATGAAGCAGGATATTGGAGGGAGGGCTTATTCCAACATCGTCGAAGACTCTTAGGTTTACACTGGTCCTCCTCCTCCTCCTTCTCCTCCAACTCCCCCACCCCACCCTCCCATCTCGTGCAGCCTGCCTCCTCGTCCTCCTCGTCCCCATCCTTCCCCACCCTCTTTCCTCCATCCCCTTCAGGGCGTAGCACGTGCAGCATGCATATCAGGCACCCCTGTTGTCAAACCCCTGCGGGGCTTCGAAGCTCAGGGGGTAGACGGGACCACGCGCGCAGCCTTCCTGCCCGCGTCTCTCTGATGAGCATGCGCCTCCCCACGGGGGTAAGACGTTCAGCTGCATGCAGGGCTGCTGCAGTCAGAGACAATAGCCTTCTGTCTGTCCTTTTCCACTTCAGGTGCTCAACTGAGTTTCGGCGTAAGTGGTGACTCTCAGACTCTGCGCGCCATCCACCTACTCAGCCGCAAAAGGAGCACGCACTCTGCAATGCCCCGTGTGGCATCATCAGCCATCCCCTTCCCCTCAATCCTCCTCCTCCCGCCCATCCCGCACCTGTTCCTCCTCCTCCTCCTCCTCCTCCTCCTCCTCCTCCTCCTCCTCCTCCTTCTAGCCTTCCGTCACATCGTCGTCGTCGTCGTCACCGCTGACGTCGTCTTTGTCCTCTTCCTTCTCCTCCTCCTCCTCCTCCTCCTCCTCCTCCTCCGCCTCTTCCTCCTCCTCCTGCTCCTGCTCCTGCTCCTCCTCCTCCTCATCCCCGTCCAACTCCTCCTTGTCCTCCTCCTTCTCCTCCTCCTCCTCCTCATCATCATCATCAGCTTGATCATCTTCATCTTCATCATCATCATCATCATCATCATCACCACCACCACCACCACCATCATCATCATCATCATCATCAGCATGAGCATCATCAGCATCAGCATCACCACCAGCATCACTATCCTCAGCATCACCACCATCATAACCATTATCGTCATCATCAGCAGCATCACCATAATCATAATCACCAACAACATCACCATCATCATAGTAATAATCATCCGTATGATCATCACTGGCATCATCATTATCAGCATCATCATCATCATCACCAGCATTGCCGTCGTCATCATCATCATCATCATCATCATCATCATCATCATCGCCATCGCAATCGTCACCGACATCATCATCATCATCATCATCATCATCATCATCACCAGCATCAGCATCATCATCATTAGCATCATCAACATCACCATCAGCATCACCACCAGCATCAGCATCATCATCACCATCAGCAACGGCATCAGCAACAGCATCGTCATCATCATCAGCATCATCATCATCCTCACAAGCCTTATCAGCATCAGCATCATCAGCATCAGCATCAGCATCAGTATCCTCATCATCACCACCATCATAATCATTGTCATCATCAACAGCAGCATCACCATAATCCTCATCAACACCATCATCATCATAGTAATCATCATCAGTATCCTCATCACTAGCATCATCATCATCAGCATCATCAGCACCAGCATTGTCGTCGTCGTCATCATCATCGCCATCGCAATCGTCACCGACATCATCATCATCATCATCATCATCATCATCATCATCATCATCATCATCATCATCATCATCATCATCATTAGCATCATCAACATCACCATCAGCATCACCACCAGCATCAACATCATCACCATCACCAACGGCATCAGCAATATCATCGTCACCATCATCAGCATCAACATCACCCTCACAAGCATTATCACCATCAGCAGCAACAGCATCATCATCAGAATCGTCACAGTCATCAGCATCATCAACATAGTCAGCATCATCGTCATCATCATCATTACCGTCCTCACCACCACCACCATCATCATCTTACCGTCAGCCACATCATCAGCAGCATCGTAAGCATCATCATCAGCATCAGCACCAGAATCATCAGCATGGTCATGATCTGCATCAGCATCAGCATCATCATCAGCATCAGCATCATTCTTATCAGCATCAACATCATTCTTATCAGCATCATCATCGGCAGCATCATCAGTATCGTTAGCATCATCAGCATCATCACCATCAGCAGCAGCATCATCATCATAGTCTTCGACATCATCATCATCATCATCATCATCATCATCATCATCATCATCATCACCATCATGATCATCATCATCATCATCAGCAGCAGCAGCAGCATCATCGCCAAAGTCCTCCCCCGTCTCCTTCTCCACATCCTCCACCGCCTCGCCATCCCCATCATCATCATCAGCAGCATCGTCAACGTGACAACATCACCATCGTCATCATCATCATCATCAGCATCATCGCCATCAGCAGCATCCTTATCATTATCGCCATCGTCATCATCATCGTGATCACCGTCGTCAGAATCATCAGCAGCATCATCATACTCATCCTTATCACCATCCTCATCAGCATCGGCAGAGTGATCGTCACCATCAGCATCATCGTCATCATCATCACCATCATCATCATCAGCATCATCATCATCGTCATCGCCATCGTCAACAGGATCATCAGCATCATTAGCATCATCAGCAATATCATGAGTATCATCATCATCGTCGCCATCATCAGCAGCATCATCGTCAGCAGTATTACTCCCATCGTCAGCATGATTATAATCTGCGTCGCTGCCATCATCTCCAGCATCATCAGCAAAGGCCGCATTAGCACCAGCATCAGCATCAACATCATCATCATCATCATCTGCATCATCATCAGGATAGGCAGTCATCAACATCCTCATCATTAGCATTAGCAGCATCATAATCGTAAGCCTGATCATCATCATCATCGTCATCAACAGCATTATCAGCATCGTCATCAGCATCGGCATCGTCATCGTTGCCGTCAACAGCATCATCAGCATCAGTGGCACAATCAGCAGCATCATCAGTAGCATCAGCATCATCATCGTCATCATGAGCAGCATTATCATCCTCATCATCATGATCATAATCGGCATCGTAATCATCTCCAGTATTGTCATCAGCAGCCACATTAGCACCAGCATCAGAATCAACATCATCATCAGGATAGACAGACGAATCGTCAACATTATCATCAACAGCGTCAACACCATCATCATCAGCATCATCAGCAGCATAATCATCATCATAATCGTCATCATCAGCATCATCATCAGCAGCAGCATCATCATTATCAACATCAGCAGCATCACCATCATCATCAGCAGCAGCGTTATCACCATCATCATCCTCAGCATCGTCATCATCGTTATCAGCATCATCAGCAGCATCATCGTCGTCATCATCGTAGTCGGTCTCCACCTCCTCCTCTTCATCATCATCAGAAGCATCATCGTCGTCATCATCGCTATCGACATGATGATCATCATCAGCATCATCATCATCATCATCAGCATCATCATCATCAGCATCATCACCTGCCCGCAGTCGTCGTCGCCTCCGCCGACGGGCGGCGGAGATGGCGACGACGATAACGGCGGCGACGACGACAACAACCACAATCAGTTTCAGACTGTTCGCTCTTACATGCTCGAGTGCCATTCGACACGTATATCCCGAACCCTCGATCTCCGCCCTCTTCGCCTTCGATCGTACCCCGTACCCCAGTAGTGGCTGATCTTCCTTACCAGCCGCGTGTAATTGGCGCAGCCCCTACAACAGGGGAAGAGAGGACGGATGGAAGGGAGTTGGAGAAGGATTGAGCACGAGAGAGATTAGCAGGAGGGGGGCGAAGAGCAGAAAGCACGTGGCAAGACCAGACGGACTCATCATGTGGGTAGACACTAACGAGCGGGTCGGGAAGGCGAGCCCAGGCGGCCAGGTCGAGCAGGCGGGTTGCTGAAGCGTGAGTCCTGCATGAATCGCGAGGGGGTCTCGAACGACAGCGCGACTCCGAAGTACATCGCGAGAAAAGCCAGAGCGAGAGCGCGATTCCTGAGAGTTGGGGCACGGCGCTGCAATACATTGCGATGTCAGGCAGGAGCCGTTGTTATTGTAGTTCCGGGGTCGACAACACAATCTGAGGAGGAAGAGTTCTCCTTGTTAAAAAATGATACGAGACCTGGGAGGAGCATTTGAAGTGGGAAAAACACAAGGTGCACGGGAAGGGGAGAATTATACTTTAGAAATGTCAATTCAACAGTAATGTAAATATTGGTTCGTTCGTATTAATGTCCCAAACCCTCGATTCCCGCCCTCTTCGCCTTCGATCGTAGGCCCTTGGGGGTATATCTTCCTTACCTGCTACGTGTACTGGTCGCAACCCCTGAAACAGGGGAAGGCTGGGAGGAGTGAAGAGACAAGGGGGAGGGAGAAGGATGGAGCACGAGAGAGATTTGCAGGAGGGGGTCAGGGGCCGGAGTACAAGCGGCAAAACCAGGCGGACCGGTCGGGCGGGCGGACCCTAACAGGCAGGTCGGGCGGGAGGGCCCAGACGGCCAGGTCGAGCAGGCGGGTTGCCGAAGCGTGAGTTCTGCGTGAATCGCGAGGAGGTCTCGAGTGACAGCGGCAACGGCGACGACGACGGACGACGGCGTGGACGACGACGACGACGACGGCGGCAGTGGCGACGACGACTTTGGCGGTGGCGACGAGGAGGGAGGGAGGGAGGGAGGGAAGGGAGGGAGGGAGGGAAGGGAGGGAGGGAAGGGAGGGGCGGGAGGAGGAGAAGGAGGGGGAGGGATTGGGCGTCGCCGCCGCCGGCTC